TACGCGATACACGATTTACAGTGAATAACGGATTCGTAATCAGCGACCCCAAAAACCTTTGTATACAAAGTTTCACAAACAATGGTTCAATAGAAAAATGTATAATAAGAGAATACAGCTCTGAAGAATAAAAATCAATGAGTAGGAGGGGCTAAGAGCCTTGACTAGGTGTTAGTGTCAAAAAGGTAAAAATTTAGTTTATTAAAACATAAAAACTACAGACGTTTCGGCGTTTCTTTAGACCGTCCTCAGTGTATGAATAGAAAAGAAAAAGAGTAAAAGAAAATAATTTAAATGTAAAAGTCAATGGTTAAAATGCGCTCGCAACACAATACATAAGAAAGATGTAAAATGTAAAATGTTAGCCGTATTCGGATTTATTACGACTGCCAATCGAAAGGTCATCGTTTCGTCGAGATATAAGTTTTGGAGTTATCAAGCTGGTAAATGTCGACTAAAATGTATGCTTCAAAGGGTTAATTCGCTTCGGGTCGTATTGTCGAGAAGCATCTATGCTTAATCAAGTAATTTCGTCCATCCCTAATTATTATCCGAACCGAATTAATGCGCCGTACTGAACATTGACGTAGAAATATGCTGCGATCGTTAATTACTGTAGAATTAATTGTTGCGAAATAGCGATGTCATAAATTCGCATATACGTTATAGCGTTTTGAAACATTGAATCAGCGTTAGATTGTTCTGGTCAATTTAATTTAATTTAGTTTAATTTCGTTTTACAACATTGACAAAACTGTCAAAAAGAGACATGAAACAGAACCACTTTTTTTTTACGTTAGTCGTTTCGATTAACTTTAATTTCATTTTACAATATTGAAAGAAATATAAAAAAAGAGGAAAACGAAATAATTCTTTTCATATAAAAGAATAAGCAAAGGTAACAGCATCTTTAGTCGACTGAACCAACTCTTTTTGCTAATTAGAGTTTGCGCTGGATGTCTGTGCGCCTCCAAGCTGGGAATAATTCAATGTCGCTCTTACATTCGTTTCGGGCACGTACATTAGCGAGGTGTATCATATCGCTCTGTTGATCGATAAGCAAGCAAAATACACTCGGATTGTTGTCGAGGTAAATGATTGCTACTTTCACACAGTAAACCCGCAATCAAGTCGCTCAAATATTTGCCGATATTAATGGCATTGGAAGTACAAAAGACTTGTGTGAAGCTTTCATCGACTATCGGATGAATTATTTCACGATTGGAATACGATTATGCGAATTATCGTTTGTTCAGCAGACAACAACCGTAACAGATTCCATAGAAAAATACCTGCTTCGTATCGAAATTGAAAATTATCCGCAGTGTTTTAATTCTCGCGTTTATTTTACGCGATAATGTTTTACGACACCTGATATCGGATGACCATGTAAACGTTCGATTTGGACCGGTCGGATCGAACGTGCCGAACCTCACGGTGGTCAAGTTAATGAGCGATCAACACTTGCGGTAATCGACGAGGCTGGGCATGCCAAAATTGGGTCGACCCGCTTCACCCGGCATCGGACACGGGTCTCGAAGGTATCACAAATCTGTGGCGGACACTTCTTCGCGAAGGGAGAGCGCAAACAGTTGCTTCGACCCTACCGAGGTAAACGGAAATCGATGACGTTGATCAGTCGCCCGTGATAGTATTTCGCCGGGTTTAACGCCCGCCGTTGTTCGATTTGCGTAACGAAAAATTGTCACGCAAGTTTCTATCGCGGCACGACGACACGCGTTCAATTCCCTCGCAGCCGATACTGATCGATGGACGTGACCCACTAACGAAATGGAACGAGGAATCGACATCCCTTTGCACCACCGCCGGGACACCGGTGGTGTTGACGGCGCCGCGCACCAGCGGGTGGCTTGAATTAATTAAAAAAAGCGACGCTGATTATAACAATGGGAATTAATTCTGGACTCGCTGTCGGGATGGAAGTTTGTAAGCGCGAACAAGGTGACTTTATTTGATCACTTAATACTTTTTAATTCCGTTTAAATGAAACGATGTAAATGATCTTCAGATGTGGAACTCTAGATATCGGTTATTTAATTCAGAAAAAAAAATTGCTGCGTTATTTACTAATGGTATTGCTACGCGCCACTAGGATTAGTTAACGAAGTTAATTATCACCGTGTGACAAGGCTTTAATTAGCAATTTATATCCAGCTCCAGGATCTAATTATAAATTAGTATGCACCTGGTATTACTCTAATATATCCAAGTTACTTATGAGTCGGAAGCTAGCGAATATGAAGATTTAAGTAAAAATAGGAACATTTGACGTACATATCTAATGGCGAATTCGGTTGTTTGCACCAGTGCGCACTGAGTGAACACTAAGACTTGTTTACAGTCAATTCTTATGTTTAAGGATCGTCTTAAATATCTCTCGAAATATTTCTTAGCCAGTAAAATGATTTGCATAGCATCCATACGGATCATGTTTTGGCTAACAACATATATTTAAGGCAAAGTGAAATATAAAAATTGACTGTAAACAGGCCTTAGCGTGCGCTCAGTGCGCATTAGTGCAAGCAACCGAATTCGCTATGAGTATTTGCGCGATACTAGACTTACTCCTTTTAATATTTAAATATTTAAATCCTAGAAAAGAAGTTGACAAAACTTGCAGTATTAAGCGGTTTAGAGGAACGCGAAGATGCGAACAGCACAATGTTGCACAGCGCGGCAAGTATTTATATATGGATTATTGTATATGGATGCAGTGGGCTTCTTTGAAAAAGAAGCACCGAGAAGTGTCGAGACTTCCGGAGCGTCGCCCGGAACGCGTCCTTTCACACTTATTTTTATATCCCAGCTTGTTTTCTCAAGGCTTTCCGACCGCGCCGCGGCTTTTCTCGGGCAACCCATCCTCTACATATGTATCTGGAGATAATTTACTTCCAAAATTACTTTCTGGGGCCGTATCGGAACGTTTTACAGCGAACATTCAGAGTTTGTTGAATAAAATTATCGGCCTACATAAATAAATATGTCAATTAAACTTACCTTTTAATTTTAATATAATTTCATCGAACAACACGCACAACAAGCCTTCATGTTGGCGACACTGCTGATTGAGTTAATCGTCGATTAAAGTTAATCGAAGTTGGTTAAAGTGGCCCTTATTGTTCAAGTGATATCTTTTTACGGAGCGTAATAAATTTAAAAAAATTCCACCGTTAACAACAATGCATTTTTCAACTCTTGTGTGAACATGGCGTGTTGCTCGTTCGATATTTGTGAATATGCGAGGCATTTTGAACATTTCTACAATGTTATCGGGACAACAGTCAACAGACGTACAAGAGTAAATTCCCGCAGACGTTTATGAGGTTAGACGAAGGGTGAAGCGTACAGGGGGAAAAAAATAACTACACGAGACATTCAAGTAGCTCTATCTCGGAAACAGTGGGGAATGGGACGTATGTTCATATGAACATTTTCGCTTAAAATGACCGATACTATCACCTCCCAGAATATTGATCTTTCATCCTGGGACACCCTGTATAATAGAAGTCTGTGCTCCTAGTGCACGTATACTGCGTACGTTTGTTTTCTTTTTGTGGCGAGGGCGACAGCTTAACCCACTTAACGGTGGTCTCCGAAACGTTATCGGCTTTCAAGATTGACTTCTCGCGAGGAAATGGAGTTGAAGGAATCGCACCGTGGCGAATGAGAATTGCAATATTATTTCCACGGCTGGCAATACTTGGTCGAGGCCCCGCCTCGGCTTTTTTCCCCCCGAGGTATTGAAAATAGTCCTCCCGTCATCGAGCGGTTCGGTGGCTCGTTCTGTCGCGGCGCTACGCGTCTTCTTATCGCCGCCCGGCAATTCCAGGCGGGGGTGCATTTCATCCCGCTTGCAACGGGCGGGTAATCATTGCCGCTGGCTGAACGCTCGCAGGCGGCCCGGCGCGAAACTGGGTTGCACTACTTCGGCCGCGGGACTAACGGCCGAGAGCGGCGTTTTGCAGTGCCTGTGCACGTGTATGGGTACGTGTGCACGCGGCGTTCTCCCGGGGGAGAAGGATGAACGAAGAGGGCCACGGGTGGAACTCGGCCATCGTCGATGCACGCGGCCTATCGGGTGTCGTCGCCGATTAATCGGGTTACCGGGGTCGACGCGATACACCCGTGTCCGCATTTTCAGACTCCCCTCGCGGTCGGATTATCGCGACGCTATCACGCTATCACGAAGGTCCCGGCGCTGCACCCTCCTTACTCGCGTTGGAGGCGGGATATGAAAAAGAAAAAAACGTCCCTGGCAGGAACGTCTACAGTTCGCGCCAAGTGCAATCGCAATGTATAAACAATATTAATCGTGTATATTGTATACGCGTGTAACATTTACGGAAAATGTATGTGCGACGTTGTCTTAATGGCATCTTCTAAGAATTCCTTTCCCGCCTGGAGAACCGGGGGGGTAGTGCTCGGAAGATTTTACTGGGAGTGGAGGATGTTTTATCGACACCACCTTTCGAGAGATTCCGTTTTTACTTGATGGCTACCAAACGCGAGTCCTGTTTGAGATTTTCAGGCAAGTTCTGCTTCAGAGAGGATATCTCTGGAGATATAAATAGAAAAGAATTTCTAATAAATTGCTTGAGTAAAGAGTATTTAAATGTCGACGTTTCATGACTCGCGGAAGATCGTATCTCGTATTCCTCGGAAGGGGTGAACATTTCACGTAGTATCTCTCTTCATAAAATTATCCTGTAAGATCTCCGTAAACTTTGAACGTGAGAATTAACGATTTGCCGAGTCCTCTTTGGAGGTCCCGCCAGTTTCTCTTGTCCGCGAGGCTCCCTTTCTCTCTCCGGCAGAATAGACCGGGTTCGCTTTTCGTTTTTCGTGTTGCTCGCGAGTCGGGCGAGGCTTTTAAGGCCGCCCATTCTCGCGGGGTCGCGAGGCAAAGAGGCGCGCCGGCACCTCGTTAACGGCCGGAACCCGTTTCACCGACAAGAGGCGTCCTCTTCGTCTTTTCGCAGGAGTACGTGAATCGATACCATGGCCAGAAGATGGGCGCCTTGGAGCCGCACGTGTTCGCCCTGGCGGAGGCGGCGTACAAGTCCCTGCAGGACACCGTGAGCAATCAGTCCTGCGTGATATCGGGCGAGAGCGGCGCCGGCAAGACCGAGACCACCAAGTTCATCCTGCAGTACCTCTGCTCGGTCACCAGCAACGTCGACACGTGGGTGGAGCAGCAGATCCTCGAGGCCAACACCATCCTCGAGGCGTTCGGTAATTATCCAGTTAACGGCATCCCAGGTCCCGAGTTGGTCCCGCTTCGCGCTTGCAATTTCGAGACCACGTGTTTCTGTGTTGTGTCTCGTGCCAATTTTGCCGGGAAGCTGTCTGATAAAATTAAAACCCTCTGCCTCGGCCCGTATTGGAACACTGATGGATTTTCTCTCTTAATCGAATCGAGTCGGTCCAACAGCGGTCCCTTAATTACTGCGATGAAATAATCTCTTGATCGTGACGGAACTCGAGCGTGATTAGTGTGGTAAACTTAGTCAATAATTATGATAAAGAGCAATCACGTTATAATGTTCTTGGTCTTGGTAATAAATTTAGCGAGATATAAAGTATTTTTTAATGTTAAAGAGTCTATAGACTCGCATTCGCCGCCGTAACATTAATTTTCTTTACCATTGTCACGAGTCTTTTTAACTTTAATTTGAAAGTATTTTTTACTACTTTATTAATACCAGACCTAGTCGTTGTTAAGTGCGTTTATAATCGTGAATTAGACTTGGATTAGACAGCTGAAATTGGTATTATCGAATTGGATATACATATCATTGTGACTATCGATGTGTCCACGCGGAGAAATGTTTCTCCTAAAATTTACCCTGAAATTGTGTAATCGTGGGACAACACGGTATTTCAAAAAACTTTATGCAAGTTTTTTGAAATTTTGCCGTACATTTTACTAGTAAATTTAAAAAACTCTCATAAAACTGTCCGAAATACCGTCCCACGATTACGCGATTTCAGGGTAAATTTTAAGAGAAACATTTCTCCGCGTGGACACATCGATAGTCACAATGATATATCCAATTCGATAATACCAATTTCAGCTGTCTAATCCATATTTCGAAGAATTTTATGAGAGTTTTTTGAAATTTTACTAGTAAAATTTACGGTAAAATTTCAGAAAACTTGCATAAACTTCTTCGAAATGCCACGTTGTTTTACGATTACATGAGTTAGGATAAATGTTAAGAGGAAATTCTCTCCGTGCACCGATAAAAAATTGATCTCGCGAGGTGAAGGAATCCACTTTTAAATCGAAAACTCGCGAAAGTAAATGTCAGAGAAGGAACGATGGGCCAAAAATAAGTCTCTCCAGGAACAACTTGTCACCGTCAGGATTGAATTACACCGCGTCACGATAATAGACGGTTAAACAAGAATCGGCGTCCCGACCGAAGCGAAGATAAACGGAGACGATAGAGTAGATCCTAATCATGCGTGCAGAAGTAAACAGCCGCGATTCATTAATCGAAGGTACGAGCGCGACGGCAACTCAGGTGGTAAATGTGGCGACGAGGGGAAACGAAGTGGGTCACGAGGCAAAGAGGTTTTATGAATAAAACAGATTGGATCTGGCGTCGTTCATTCACCTACGTGAAATAATGACGCCTTCTTTAAATCCATCTTCTCGGTAAATTGTTTATTCTCGCGTCTTTATAGCCCGTCTCTCGCATCCAAATGAATCTGGGAAAGTTTCCCCCTCTCTCCTGTCCTGCATATTTAAATTGAGTTATTTCCAATAATACACCTGCCCTTAAAAGTGCATTACGAGTCATTAATTTGCAAACAAGATTAAAGAGAACCGCTTTCGATAGACACAATACTCGCGAGACTTTCAAAGATTTTTGAAGGATTTGATTTGCGAGATTGTTAAATTTCTCCCGACGTTGAAAGGAAGAGCGAGAGAGCGATAGAGTTTAATTAACGAGGGAAATTTTGTTCGCGTTAAAACAGGCAACGCGAAAACCGTGCGAAACGACAACAGCTCGCGCTTCGGCAAGTTCATGCAGGTGTGCTTCGACAGCAAGTGGATGATCAAGGGATGCATCATCCAGGACTACCTGCTGGAGCAGAGCCGTATCACCTTTCAGAGCCCCGGTGAGCGCAATTATCACGTGTTCTACCAGCTGGTGGAGGCCGGCACGAGGGACAAGGAATTCGCGGAGCAATATAAGCTGAGACCGGCCAGCCACTACAAATATCTCAATCAGTCCGGCTGCGTGAAGATCGACGGAATTTCCGACTCCAAAAGGCTCGACTCTCTCAGGCTCGCCTTCAATGTGCTCCAGGTATTTTACCGTCGCGAGAGAGAATTTCGCACGCGTCATATTACTTCTATTATTGTCAAGTCAATCATTATCCGTCTACGTGCAGATCGCGCCGGAAATGTGCGAAGGCATCTTCCGGGTTCTGTCGGCCATCCTGTCGCTCGGGAATTTAAGCTTCGAGGATGTCGACGGCGAGAGATGCGAGTTGTCGAAGGAGGACAGGGATATCGTCGACACGGTCGCGCCGCTGTTGGGTCTCCAAGTGGAGGATCTCACCAAAGTGGTGCTTATAAGACAGATAAACGTTCGCGGTAACATCACGGAGATCCCGCTGAAGGTGCAGGAGGCGCGGGAGAATAGGCACGCGATGGCGAAGGCGCTCTACTCCCGTACCTTCGTCTGGCTCATCAACCACATCAACAACTGCACGAACCCGGGCCAGGATATCTCGCGGTTCCTCGGGGTTCTCGATATCTTCGGATTCGAGAACTTCACGCTGAACAGCTTCGAGCAGCTCTGCATCAACTACACGAACGAGAAGCTGCACAAGTTTTTCAATCACTACGTCTTCGCGTTGGAGCAGGAACTCGTAAGTTTATTCCAGTGTTTAGAATTGTTGTGCGATCGCTGTGAGTTTTTAGAACCTTAAATTTGTTCGGCTCGCTGGGGCCCAAGTGTACATTCGAAGAGCTCGAATTGTTTATGTTGGATGTAATTTTAGATCTAAAATGAGACAAGTAAAACCGGCTTACTTTCTGTGTTTTTTTGCTATAGTTATTTTCCGCAGTGTCCTAACTTGAACTATTCGAATTTATTACTGTGTACTATTTTTATTTCGAACTAGTTTGTTCGCGAATCTTTTGTCCGACTCTGAACCTAAAAAGCTGTAATTTTCTTCTTGTGTTTTATTGTTAAATGGTTTATTCAGCACAAATGAAGGAATGAATATCGAATGTATGTTCAGTATCACCAAGAGGAGATCCAGTACTCCCACATCACGTTTACTGACAACACCATGTGCCTGGAGCTGATCGAGAAGCCCCCGCGATGTGTTCTTAAGTTACTCACCGAGCAGTGCCATATGCCGAAGGGCTCGGATCTAGCTTACCTAACGAACCTGCACGCTGAATTTGAGAGCCATCCGTGCTACGTGAAGGGGGACGACCGACGGAAATGGGAGAAGGAGTTCGGGCTCAAGCACTACGCCGGCTCCGTCACGTATACCGTCGAAGGTTTCGTCGACAAGAATCGGGACGTGCAGCAGGACGTGTTCTTCGACTTCATGTCCAGGAGCACGAATGAGTTCGTGCAGGAGATCAGCGTCTATCAGGATCTACTGGGATGCACCGTCGGTCGTGCAACCGGTGGCACGACCACCACCATGTCCCGCGGAACGTCCAAGGGCAAGCCTACTCTCTGCGACTCGTTCCGGCACCAGTTGCAGGCCCTAGTAGACGTGCTGCAGGCGACGACGCCGTGGTACGCGCGCTGCATCAAGCCGAACATGGAGAAGATGGCTAATAACTACGACGAGAAGCTCGTTATGGACCAGCTCAAGTATCTTGGTATGCTTGATATCATACGCATACGCAAGGAGGGCTTCCCGATACACATGTCGTTCCACGATTTCGTTACGAGATACCGTTGCCTGGACAAGGGCCGATCCTCGCTGCGGTCCTGCAACGAGAAGGAGGCGGTCAAGTGTCTGATTGGTAGACGAGGTATACCGCAAACTGAATGGCAGATTGGCCGCACGAAGGTGTTCCTGCGGAGCTACGTGCACGAGCCTCTGGAAGATTCGAGGAACCAGATAATAACGCGCAACGCTACAGTGATACAGAAGATTTGGCGAGGATACGTTAACCGGCAAGGTACGGCCTCTTTTCCTCTTTAAAACCCCCTGAACTTGAAGACAAAGTGGTCTTTCGTTGCGCTGTACTACAGTCTTTCAGCTGATTCGAAATAAATGACAGATTTTTATTGAGTTGGAAATTACATAAAAGTTCTTGTTCTCCAAATAGAGTACAAGCGTATAAGGGAGGCGACGCTAAAGGTGCAGCACGCTTACCGCGGTTGGAAGCTGCGAATAATGTTCATCAGGAAACGCCGGGCAGCCGTGGTGATCCAGAGTCACTTGCGGGGCGTGTTCGCGAGGGAAGTGGCCGCGGCTCTGCGAGAAATGCGACGAGTCGACGAGGAAATGAGAAAGAGGGAGCGGCTGGAGGAGGAACGAAGGATGATGGAGGACAAGAAGGCGTTGGAGGAGAGCCAGAGGTATGGGAGATCAACCCCGCTCGAAAATTTCTTAATTTCCATAAATTCCCCGTTCGCGACGATAGTCCCCGCGTAAGATAACCGCTGGAACCGATTAATCACGCGTGTCGATTCGATTGTATTGCGTTAATCGTCTCCGTTTGTGTTCCTTTTGTAGCGCGCAGTACGATGGTATTGCCGAGATGGAATCTGGGTAAGTCCAACGACGGAAGAGATCGTGTGACGTGTATATGACGGCATGCACCCGTTGCATGCAAAATATCATCGCGTGTGCCTCAAACGTATGCGAGCGTTATCGCTTCCTCGTTTGATATACACGGGCATGGTTTTATACTAAACATCATTGTAATATTAAACGCTACATCATAGAAAATCACGTGTTTATAATTGCCAGGTTGAAGAACCTGGATAGAAGAGCGGCGTAAAGCACGAAACTTTAAGATACTTCGAGAAATATTATAATTTTTGGACATTTATATATGTGAAGAGAGAACCACAAAATTACCGTAGCTTAGCACACATAGAGATATTAAATTATTCTAGATGATGCGTAGCTGAAATTTATTCTAGACTTTCCGTTGATTTTTTCGAGGCATTATTTTTCGACTATTACTTTTATTGCATCGAATGTCTGATGATATCCGTGACACGACAGCATTACACGAAATTTACTTTGCTCGTAGCACCAACATCTGCACTCCTGGAGAAGGCATCAGTCGGCAATGGTAACGCAACTGAATTTTCTTCTCAATTTTCAGGAGGGTGCAAGAAGAAATCGACGCGCTGTCGCAGATGGCCGAGCAGATGAACTCGAAGATGGCTACTACGGATTTGCAATCGGTGGACCTGGACAATCTATTCTCTTTCCTATCCGATGTGCAATCAACTAAGAGCAATCAGATTATCGAAGAAATCGGGGAACAGATGGACGAGTTGGTGGAGGACCTTGACGTAGAATTGGAGACCGTTATTCAACAAGAGATGGAATTGAATGCCAAGGCGAATGAGTCCAAGGTCGCTTCTCCTGTTGCCAACGGGCAGGAAGTGCAGTCACCGCAGCAGCAGCGGGTGCCAGGCGCGAATAACTTGAGCAGCGGCAAACTCGGTCAACCGAGTCTCCCGGAACCCACGGAACCGCCACCACCGCCGCCACCCCCGGCGCAACCATTAACTGTGAACGGCGATTCGTCAGATGACAACGGCGAGCCGATTTACGAGTCAGTGCTGCCGCGGGAGTCAAACGATCCCGATAGCCCGGTCGTCCATAACGGCGGCAGTCCGGGCCAGATGAACGGTGAGACTTGCGGATCGCCACCGCCGCCTCCGCCGGGCGGCAAAATGACGAAAGAAATCGCCGGTAGTCCGCCATCCAGACCGGAGTCCAGGAGTTCCGGCCACCATCACGCTCACCATCACCACCACCATCATCAGACGATACCCCAGGCGCAGCAGAACGGCCACGATCAGCCGCAGCCGCAATCGCAGGCGACGCAGCAGCTGCCGGTGGAGCGCGAGCAGCGGCGCAAGTGTCGCGTGGAGCGCAAACTGCAAGAGCTCGAGGACAAGAAGGAGCAGGAGAACGAGGCGACCTATCACGATATCGTGGAGTTCGCGCAGAACTACTTCAACAGCCACGAACGTTCGCCGGAGGGCACCATAATGGCCACGCTTACGAGGAAGTCGCGCGGCAAGAGCATCGAGTTTATTCCCAAGTACGAGATGGTCACGTACTACAAAGGGTCCAGCATCCCGAACTCGCATATTCATATGTACGATCCCGATAACGTGAATGTTGCTTGTTCCGTATTCAGGGTATGTCTGCATTAATTAGACTACGTTAGATTACAGAAAACTGAAAAAAAAAGAATAATTATTCTTCACTTATAAGCGAAATGTAACTCACGAGTCATTTAAAGCCGGCGATCTGCGCGACAGCCTTAAAGTTTTTTTCATTTATTCTATTAGGTGTACAAAAAAGTTCTGAGCTTTTTTTGTAAAATTCAATCTTCATTCAAAAACAAATAAAAAAATATTAATTAGCGAAATATTCCCCGTTTGCATCAACGACCTTTTGCCATCTTTCGGGTAGCTTGCGAATTCCTTGACGATAGAAGCTCACCGGCTTCGAAGCGATAAACTCATCAATGCATTTTCGTATCTCTTCAAATCTCACAAAATGTGTATCAGCCAAATGATGCTGCAGCGACCGGAATAGGTAGTAATCGGAAGGCGCCATGTCTGGGCTATACGCCGCGTGCTGGAGAAGTTCCCAGCCTAACGCAAAGATATAGTCCTGAGTCGCTTTTGCAACATGTGGTCGAGCAGTGTCATGAAACAAGATCACTTTACGACTCCCTTGGCCAGTAAATGGCCTCTTTTCTTCTAAAGCATCGCTCAAATTGGTCAATTGTTGTTAGTAGCGGTCTGCCGTGATTGTTTCACCCGGTTGTAACAACTCGTAATGCAATACACCTTTCCAATCTCACCAGATACAGAGAAAATCTTCAAGACTGAAATCTCCTTGGCGAAATTTTTGATACCATCTTTTACATGTAGTATGACTTACAGCGTTCTCTCCATATGCAGCACAAATCATTGCAGTGGCTTCAGCAGCATTTTTCTTCAGATGAAACGCGAAGTGGATGGAAAATCGAATATGCTCGTTTGTTATTGCCATCGTGAACACTACTAATTTTTGAGATTATGTGCATCAAACGCCAAACCGTATGGCATTTTAGAAGGCCAAATGTCAACGCTTTAAAACCGCAAAAGAGCGGGATGATATATAAAATTTAAATTATTATTTCGGTTGTATGAAATCTAGAGCTTAGAACTTTTTGTACACCTAATATATTTTTTTAATATATATCAAATACTGTGGCAGACGTAAATTATGCTAAATTAGTTTAACATGATTTCAAATTTCATAAACTTCTATCTATTGAGACTAGAATTGTGAACATTGTAGAAACTATAGAAAATTCTTTTCCTTAAAGAACTTTATCAGAATTACGTTTAATCTTTTCGCAGGACTTGTGCAAGTATATTCGCGGCGAGATGAAGCTGGACCAGGAGATAACCACGATTCAGAGTATTATCGCTTATGGGATCGAGCGGGAGGAGTTGAGGGACGAAATCTTCGTGCAATCCATGCGTCAAGCGACGAACAATCCCAACGCCGAGTGGGCAGAACGCGTATGGCTATTGTTGTGCCTGGCAATCGTAGCCTTTCAACCGAGCAAGCTGCTTTACAAGTACTTCGTCTCCTTCCTGAGAAAGAATCTTGCCCTCGAGGGCAAACTGAGGCAGTACGTGCAATGGTGCGTGGACAACTGCAAGAATACCAAGGTGTCTTGCAGGCAACATCCACCGTCCACGGTGGAGATCGCTGCCATGAGAAGACTGGGCACTATAGTATGTAGGTTCTTCTTTCTGGACGGAAGAACGAAAGCGATCGATGTACATCCGACCGATACGGCCGCTGACGCCGTCGCCAAGCTGGGCGAAAAGTTGGGTCTTCGATCGCTGGAGGGTTGGGCCATCTATCAAAGCAGACCGGACGGAGAGGAGCATGTGCGAGCTCACGATTATCTGTACGACGTGATCGCCGCGTGGGAAATGTAAGTGCGAACGTAATTACTTACGTAGAATTAATGAATAACTATCGTGTATCTTTAACTACAGGAAACAATGCAAATTGAATACGGCACAGTCGTCATTCTCGACGCTGCGGCGCGGCAATAACCCTACTTTGGGCAGCGGCGACAATCGTTTTGTCTTCAAACGAAGATTATTCCGTAATCCAAGAGAGATCTCGCAGGACCCCGTGGAAGTTAATATGTTATACGCGCAGGCAGTCTACAATGTCGTAAAGGTACGAGGACACACGATGCTTCTTTATAACAAATTAATTGTTCGAGTCGTTATTCTTATGGTCATCCATTTCTTTCAGTGTGATGATTTCCCAGTGTCCGAGAAAGTGGCATTACAATTGGCAGGATTGCAAGCGCAAGTGTCCCTCGGTGATCCTAAAGATAACGACAGACTGGATTATTACAGCGAAGTGGACAGCTTCCTGCCCTACAGAATCAGTCGGGCTCGCGGCGATGATGTTTGGGTGCCGATTATAGCGCAGGCACATCGACAATACGGCGCCGGGCGTAAAGAGCTCGCCGCCAAGGTCCTGTATCTGTCCTGCGTGATGCAATATCCGCTTTACGGCACAACGATGTTCAACGTGACTTATCGCGGATATTGGTCTTACGGCAACCAATTGATTCTCGGCATCAATTGCGACGGTCTGATGCTAATCAAGCCAGATGACAAATTCGTTCTGTCCGAGTATCGTTACCAGGACGTCGAAAGCATCATGCTGGACCCGAGCGACTCGTTCATCACAATCTCGCTGCTGCGACACAATCCCGACAGTTCGCACAAGTGCTTCGTTTTCGAGACCCCGCAGAAGAACGAGATAGGCAGTCTGATCGTCAGCTACTGCTCGGCGCTAGCGGGTTGGATCTCGGAGAACGAAGTGCCCACGAAGAAGCTCAAGTGTATCACTAACGAGGATCGCATCCGGCTCTACCACAATCTGGTCAACTGCCGGCGAACTCTAGTCGACTCGGAGATCCTCAGGAAACCGCAGGATTCCGGCGGTGGTTTCCTCCGGAATACACTCAGAAGATTGTCGAAGCACCGGATAGAAAAGCTTCGGCAGGAAAGTGCCGATCACGGTGAGACTTACAAGGGTTTCCCGTATGCTTACTGGGCGTTCAGCAGGCAGCAGATACCGCAGAGCCTGTCGAAACTGCCCGATCCCGACGAGCAAGTCGCTCTAAATATCTTCCAGTTGATTCTGACGTACGCTGGACTCGGCCAGAACGGGGACACGGTGCGTAGGGTCGAGGACGAGCACGTGAATCTCATACAGACCGTAATGGAGCGTTGCATACGAAAGGAAAACCTACTGGGCGAGTTGTACCTCCAGCTGATCAAGCAAACCACCGATCACCCAGATCCGAATAATCGTGTCAACCTGCGACACTGGGCATTACTCTCGCTCGCGTGTTCCGTGATCCTGCCGCCTCAGAAGACAATACGCAAGTACTTGATCGCACATCTGAAACGATGCGCCAGCGATTACGTCACCGAGGAGGGCAAGTACGCGAGATTCGCAGAAAAGTGCCTTTACAAGACTCAGGGCACTCGCAGGCGGCAGTGGCCGCCGAGTCGCGAGGAGATTATGTGCACCATCAATCGCCGGCCGATCTACGCGAGATTCCACTTCATGGACGGCCAATACCACGCCGTCGAGTTTCATCCATCTGCGACCGCCAGGGACGTCATGGAGATCATAAAGACGAAGATAGGACTCGAGGAGACTGCTATGGGTACGCTCGGAGTTTTTATCTTCCCACATCATTTTGTTATCATTTCATTTTCTTCGATGAATTTTTCAGAGTTACAATATCACGCGCTCGTTAATTAAATACTGATATATCTTCAATCACAAAATGGGAAAATATTGCAGATTAATTTGTCTCAATTCGTCTTTATTCGATTGATTTTTATCTGTCTTCTTTTACTCTTTGTCAGGCTATGCGATTTATGAGGTGTTGGGGCCGACCGAGCGATCGCTGATTCCTGAGGAGAAGATAGCCGACGTTATGTCCAAGTGGGAACGGTACAGGGCGGCGTCGCAACAGGGTCAGCAGACACGCAAGCATGTGCATCACTTTTTCCTGTTCAAGAAACATTTGTTCTTGGATCAATATATGAACTTGGACGATCCTGTGGAAAAGGAGTTATTGTATCATCAAGTGCTGCACGACTTGCGAGCCGATCGATTTCCCATCACCGAGAAAGAAGCTGTGAGTAACCCGGCTGTAACAGCTTACCAAGCTATGGAACTATTTGATTTTTCTTTACACGCATAATTATTTTGCATATTGACGTGCATTGAAATAAAGTTCTCAAAGAATCAGTACAAGTTCCTGATCTTTTATGCTCTTGTTTTACATTATATTGTATAATATTTAGTTTTCTCTTTTAGTTTACTTTATTTCGTAGAATTTAGTATGTAACCTCTTGCATGCACAATTGTTGTATTCTATTGTAAAGGTTTCACGGGAGTAATTTCACTTGCAGATGATGCTGACGGCTTTGCAAGCGCAGTTGGAATTGAGCGATTGTCTGGAAACCATATCGGAACACGATTATCGAACGATATCGAGTCACTGCCTGTCTGCGAGACTGGTGCCGTGCCTGTGCGTGGATGGTGTGCGCCAGCACCATCAATCCCTGCGCGGAATGACGCCGCCGGAGGCGAAGAAGGCTTTCCTAAATCTGATCCAGTCGTGGCCGTTGCATCGCGCGACGATCTTCGACGTGATGCAGTCGTTCACCTCGAATTGGCCGCGCGTGCTCTGGCTGGCCGTCGACCAGCAGGGCTTACATCTTCTCGAACACCGGTCCAGGAACGCGCTATGTACTTACGAATATAGCAGTATTCTAAGTTATACGCCCGCCGTTAATTGCTTCATGATCATTACCGGTACGGATAAGAAGCAGAGCAAGGTCATCCTCACCACGTCGCAGGTAATGTGAGCCAAACGATCTCTATTCGGCATATCTACTTAGACCTTGCAGAGAAACTCACTACAAATTCCCGCGCGATCTTTCCGTTTTCGTTCGCAGCTTCAAACAAATTCAACAAACTCAATAAAGCAACGATATAAAATAGAAATTGCCATAAACATTAAGTATCGACATTTAAATGAGAAAACTTTTAAACGTCATTTACAAGATTAAAAAATATAGCGTGCGATACTCGGAAAGTAAAAGCGATATTTTCGAAAATTTGCTCGACTCCTGATAAATTTGAGACTTCCTCCAGGCAGAGAAGAATTCCCCGAGAATTCTACAATTGCAGAACGTTATCGTTTTACTTCTCAGGCTCATCAGATAGCGAATCTGATCCGTGAGTACATGGAGGTGCTTCAGTCGCCGCCGGAAATACCGAGGCGGGACTCGACGATGGCCCAACAGTTGGCCGCCCAACAGCAGCAGCAGCAGCAGCAACAATATCAGCAACCGCCTGCGAACATGCCGACGTCCGCGGCCGGCGGAAGAAAGTCTCGGCCCGCTTCGATGTTACATAGAGGTGCTCCGGTGATACAGTCACAGGCTAGTTAGAATGGCTAGGGCGATACCTTCACGGGCGTTAAAGTTTCCTTTCAACCTGCTACTTATCGAGTTTACGTTGTTGGCCACCGCACGTTCCATTACCAAGTGCCATAAATTCGAGATTACGCACACGACGCCAAGTAGCGGCAGTGTCTATTTTATAAGGAATAATACGCATGTACACGCTATTGTTAATTTCCGAACCGTCATGTCCACCGCGATGAAGCGTTCCCTCTATGTAACTATCTTAGCGACTTACTCCGAGATTAAGACACGTAGAACGACGTTTAGTATCAGGTTGTGGCGATAAGAACGATTTATATTTAAACGCGTCACGTGTTTAGTGCTAAACGCGGCTATCTGATCCTGAATATGATCCTCGCATGTTAGCTCCGGATAATGTAGTACCTAAGAGACGTCACGGAGACACCCGGAAGACAATCGAATCTTCAGTGTCTTTCCAATGTCGTTCAGACTTTTGTCTCGCTCGGAGAAGCCGCGTTCAGCAATAAACGCGACGATTAGATAGGAATACGAATATACGGGACAAAGTCTTAAGTTAATTATGCTTTTTTTCGGCCGGGCCTATCGGGGCGACGATGGATCGTCGGGCAAAGATGGCACTAGAGCTTAGGGATACTTATTTCTTCCACTATTTATTGGATTAGCTTAGAGCTCGAGAGAAAACGTCAAAGACTAGATTTAGTCTCCGCGAATTTAGCCGATTTAGGGAGATGAGTGATAAATAACTGCCATTAGAAGAGTTATTGACCGCAAGGGGGAAAGTCGCCGAGGACTTTTCCATTTCTATTGTGACCGTTATCATTGTTGCCTTTTTTACGAGCGACCACCGCCACGTTTTTTGATAAAGGATTTTTGCAGCACGAAATATAAACGCGAGAGCTATATACGGCGATATTTAGCGTTCAAGCAATTATTCCGTATACATTAATTCCGATCGATAGTGTTTTATCCCTCCGGCATATCAGTTAATATCAACTGAAGAAGAGTGATTAAGGAGCCGCGCAAGTATATGCGAAGCGACCAAGAAAAAAGAAAAACTAAAAACCAAATGCAATCTTCCGAGCGTGAGTTAACGTTTGACTGAGCATTACCTGTTAATATATTTATATTAATTCCTGTGAACACAGATTTTAAACGCGACGATACAGTGGCAGCCCAACACTCGATAATCGACACATTATAGATTTGCAATAAAGGAATCTATTGCGGATTATTTAATGAAAATAATTCATGCGCGAGAAGAAATGCTCTGTTGAAACATTCGCATTTTGTGAAATTGAAGGATATACCCTAGAACTTTTCGACCACCGTTGTATTTCCTGAAACTCGAATATAACCGCCAGAAGATCGTTTTCTAAGCCGATTTATTAACGTTTATATAACATATTTAGGAGGATGCTAAACCCGTCTGTTTTATCGACATTTTTGTTTAGAACTAATCTTTTAATTGGCTTTATAGAAATGCAAAATTCTTATACGGAATTAAAGTACGCAGCAAAATCTACACTATTCTGGTCGACTTTATATCAAAACCAAAAAAACAAATTTTACTAATTTTTGGCATACTTGACAATATTTGCTTGATACAAAAATTCTACACTATATATATACAAAATGAGACCAGACTAATCTAGGGATAACATATAAGAACAATATCGTGCAATTAGAACTAAGATTAATAGCCTAGAAAAAAAGATTACTTCTAATTACCGCAAGTCTAAAAATCCAATTCTAGAAGACGAAAAAAAGATCAGTATGGCGTGTAAAAATAGTTGCAGGCTTTCTCGAGAGATGTTACTGCCAAACATCTGTCAGATTGTCGGTAAAGCCATGGTGTCGACGATTCTAGAATTCGATCTAAAATCTCGGTCTGAGCAATGTGTAGCTAATAAAATTGCTGCTTTTTCGTAAAAGTTGCAAATCGATTGGCTATAAATTTCTCGGACCGAATTCTAACATCGTGAACACGAGATCATATACAGGGTGAGGAAAAAGTACAGGACCGGTAAAATATCTCGAAAAATATGGGAGATACGGAAAAATGTTTCAGACAAAAGTTGTTAATATTAATTAGTAGAATAAGATAGTATAATAAACAAGATGGGGTTCCATTAAAAAAATGGCGGCGACCTCCATATAATCATAAAAAATTAATTTCGTTCGAAAATTAATTTTACCATTATATAGCTCTTTTAAAACCGTACAACTTTTGTCTGAAACATTTTTCCGTATCTCCCATATTTTTCGAGATATTTTACCGGTCCGGTACTTTTTCCTCACCCTGTATATGGTATGTATATACAATACTTTCTTATCTGACAGAAGAGGTTATCTGGAAATTTTTGTGTGGGTAATAACCCACATAGCACATAATATCACATAATATATCAGTAATATTATAATATTGCAATGTAATATTACATTAATATTACTGATATGTTACATAGAAATATTACACAGTAATGTAACAGTAATATTGTGCTGCAAGATATCAAAATGTCGATAATTGACGCGATCTCCTATCTTATCGACACTGATCGAGTTCTCCAGCGGCTTTAGCATCCCCTTAACGATGTGTCTTTTGCATAAATTATACACAATAAATGATCGATACTATATATCGATTCACAATAGCCGCGGATTCAACGATTAAGATTTAAGATTCTTTTAACAAGTGTACTGAACATTAACTTTTTACTGTTAATTCTAATTTATCGATTCTTTTTAATATCATAAACCGAGTAATGATATTGACTTTAGAACTCAGTTGTTTCGACGTAAACGATTTTAACAGACTTTACTCGTGTGTTTCAATTCGCGGGATCACATTCTTTTTCGCAGTCAACGTGCAGATCTCGAGTAACAAATTGGTTGTGCGACAAATGGTAAACGAATCGACTGATCTTTATTCTCCAGACAATCCTACCAATATCGTCACTTTTCTTCGTATAAAGTTAATCAATTAGGAGTAAAAACAGTATAAGCGAGAAAATGTATCCATTGTATATCCGCGCGATTAACGCGCTCGCATTTGTCGGAAAAAAAAATACGAAATTGCGTCCAGTCGACTTTAGTTAGTTTTCTTTTTAATCCGAGAGGTGAAATTCGCTCGTATGTGTAAATACATGAGAAACGTTCCATCGTATTAAGTTCTGCAAGTATCTTCACTGGTTCAGTGGTTTCTTGTCAGAATCCGCAGTAACATAAGGATGGCAATCTTATTAATTTTACACATAATATTCGCGAGGAAAGATGTACTTATATAAGTTTTAATATTTACTTGTATGTTTCAAGGATAAGAATTAACCGAGAAAGATGAGAACGAACGACGATCTCTAGTTTAATATTTCGCGTTGAACAAGTGTTGGTTTAATTTATTGTACTTGAGATATGATTTCAGTAGAATTAATTTGGTAATACGTGAACTCGTGCATAATTCAAGAATTTGAGGAACTCGTTGGGTTTTATAAGAACGCAAATGTATTCCCGAATATTCTCAGGAACGTCGTAGAGAAGCACTGTTTTGTCGCGATAAAAACGCGACGGAGATGGTTGTTTTGTTAGTTATCGTTTCCACTTGAAGGTTTGGCGGAACCTCGACGTGTGCAGAGACAGACTGTGATCCACTTTGGAAGTCTTTAGTCTTCGAGAGCCGTTTAAACCGAGTGAGACTATGTTTCATGTTATTATACGGTACACCCAACTCTCTTTTTTTTACGCTATATACAGGCGTTAATTTTAATTATCTAATAATCTAATATATCTAATAATAAATTAATGAAAACTTTTTAATCGGACACGCGTCTGCCAATATATTATGTTAAAAACCGAGTAATATCCTAGACAAACTTAGATATTTTTCAATTATCGATCTAACAACTTGGGTGTCGTCGTCAGATTCGATTATCAGTCATACGTTGCTCGTTCACCCTTATTCTCTTCAAATTCAGTCATGTGAACAGTTTTCAATGCAAAACACAACATGCGAACGGGTTTTCCAAATGATTCTTCTTGTACTGCGTAAAAAGAGAGTTGGGCGTATACGTGATGCTTGCGTATGTCTGGGAGTGCTCAGAGAACGCGAGGCTCAAGAGACATCTGAGGGACGTCTGTGAATAATTATTTTTCAGACACTTGGGCAACGTAGAGGGGTGTCTTGGGTGCCCAAAGAACGTCTGAAAGTTTAAATTTCTGAAAGGAGAAAGGCTCTTAAAATTTTCAGGCAACTCTTGGACATCCACTCCCTCTCGGACTCTTGCCTGAATGTCTGAGAAGTTGAATCCCGCAAGACATCTTAATATTTCAGACATCCTTTAGATATACTCTGAATGTTTCGCGTTGCGTTTTCGTGTGTATGTGCGTGTGTGGGTGGAAGCGTGATTAATTATAAGGACGATGCGCGCGTGCATGCATGTTATTTAAGTGTTGGCGCCTGCCAGCACACATGTAGCTTCAAGCGAAGTATAAGTTATTGGTTGACGATGTTATATTGATATATATATGTATGCATATAGACATGCATATATATCCAACGTGTATATATGTGTGTGTATATGGAAACAATGACGCTGTGTGTATATAAATATATAACTATATATAGATATGAGATCGCGAACGTTGCGCGTTTTAAAGTGGCCGTACAACAGGTGAGTGGAGAATCAACGCGTGACGCCATTGCCGTAAGTGCAAGAGACATTTGCGCCTACATATTATATAAAAAATATACATACGTATTATATATATCAATGAATAAATAAATAAATATATATATATATTCTATTATTATTCTATTATATATCGATCAATAAATAATTAAACAAATAAATATATATATATATAACAGAAGGGTATATATATTTTCTATTTTATATAATACTTATATAGAAAATATATATATGTATGTATGTATAAATTAATTTAATGTATTGTATTAAATTAATTTATATCAAACAAGAACTACACCCTGTGCGTCACGCAATTGGGACGGGCTGTAGTTCTTGTTGAATTGAAGACAGAAAAATATTAGCAAAGGAAAAAATCGGTTTAGCAAGATCCATTTTCCTATGTTCTCACTTTCTTTTTCATAAGTGCAAGAATATACCGGGAAGGTGTTTAGTCATAGAAATTGTTTGAGACGCAAATCACTTTTTCATGCAAATTAATTTATTCGCAAATTAATACATGAAATTAATGGAGGATATCGCGTAGGCGATACAGAGAATTGAACGAGGACACGGTTATTCTTGCCTTTGCTTTATATTTGAGACACTTTAGACAACAATCAGACAAATAACAATCAGACAAATATTCTTTCAGGCAATTGCCCGTGTAATTATTTGTGCGACACGAGCGACAATTTAACTCGGATGCCAGTATATATCTCATATTTCTCTTTATTATAATATATATATTATATACATATATATATATATTATATGAATATATACGCATCTTTGTTTTCATCTAATCCTACTTTGTGACCAGCTTCATGACCACGGCACCGAGGAAACCAAATCGAGACAGCAAAGACAGAGGCAATCATTTTTGTGCACCCGCGTACATTATTTTTTTTTCTCTTCTTTTTACATCAAATAATCGCCACAATAATAAAACTGTGATAATAAAAATGATGACAATAACGATGACGCTCGGCGTGTAAATGGAATAGTAACAATGATGGATCATCGGTCATGATGACAAATAATCTATCTGGATATCGACAACCATTAAGGTGGATAAGTATATCGTAACACCTCACCCTTAAGTATTAAGAGCCGAAAAAGTGGTAACAAACAAATGCAGTATGCAAATTTCAAACATTTTGGACAACATGCTCTTCCCATTTGTATCGTTTATTGTGATCCCCCCTCCCCCGCTCTTGTCCATTCATCCCTCTCAATTTTCACAGCACCTTCTCTTTATCTCTCATTGCATGCGTATGCTCGTTTCGCTATTGAGTCACGTCGGAATAAAATGGATTTTCTCTCGTGGAGCGCGGTAATCGAGTGTGGTGTAAGTCGTGTATACCTCAATTACATAAAATACATAGTGTATGTCTGTGTATGTATGAATATATTTATATATATAATAAATAAGCATATATACTATATATATTATATAATCAATATATATATATAATATGTATTATATATATAATATATACATATATATGGACACAAACACACACACGTGTACATGTGCATACATACATACAACACGCACACATATACACACACACGCGGACATACACTATATACTATATTAATTATACTGATATGTTAATATATAATTTTACCCTCGCGTCTGCTAGGTTCAATTAATCGTCTCTGCCTCTAATAAAATTTGTACAGAAGTGTGTGTATGCGTGCGTGTCGCGGATGCGACGACACGTCTCGTGTTCGCCAACGTCCACCCTTTGCCGTTTGTTTCTCCTCGTTTTGGCACTTGCAATTTAATTGCTGAGATTCTTTACGGACACGTAAGAGAGAAGGACGGCGTATGCTAGAAGCAAGCAATTTATCGTTTTTCTTTCCAGGTGTGTAACTCGACAGATCTCGGAGTTGCGTCTACGATGAATGGAGCAGGAAAAACGCACGTGGTCCACAGGAAAAAGAAAACTGATATCTCGTGCACCGGGTCTCTCTAACATTAGCCTCATTATGCCTATCTCTCTCTCTCTCTTTTTCTTTATATCGGAAAACATCGAAAGCATATCAATACGCGCGACTCAGTCCTCATATGTATCTCGGGTCTCTCCCTTTCTTTCTTTTTTTCTTAGTTTCGTTCCTCCTCCCGAGAAGCGAGAAAATGGCCGTTTGCCACAAAACCGTGCCGTAGACTACTTACAGCCACTTCACTGAGATTCGCGAACATAATAAAACATACAAAAATAATCTTACGACACGCGGACCGCCGATCCCTCGATCGCCAGTCCGTGACGTTACGCAAATCGAAATATGTAACTTATCTCGTGTTACGTGTTTTGTGTATCTTTGTCCGTGTACGTGTGGGTGGCCGCAATTCTCTCCGACTTGTATCTGTATTTGTGAAAGTATGCTATATATAGCATATATATGTGTATGTGTGTGTACATGTATGTGTATATGTGTGTGTATATATAAGAATGTTGCCTGAAAATTTCCCGTGAGATCGTAACGAGATCGTTACAATGTCACGGCGAAGCTTCGTCGGTAGGAATGCTCGCGTTTGATTCGCATCGGAGGAAATGCATCGGCCTTCAGCACCAGATAATAAAAGTTCATAAAACTAACGTTAATATTTTCTACAGTTGACGAGATATAAATACAAGAAATAAATAATGCTCGTTTGTAACGCTCGCTAAATACATCTATCTAATGGCGCGGGTGCAGAACGGGCCTTGGTTTTTCTTTCTTTCTTTTCTTTTTTTTTTTTGGCAACGGACTCGCGAAAATGGGATACGCGAGATCGCGAGCGGTGACTTCTCGTCCTCATCCCCCGTTGCAAAAGAGAACGGTCGAAGTTAACATGTAACGGTGAATTTTCTTCTCTGCTCGTCGAAAACAATTTGCCGATTCAATCAATTGCAGGGGTCGCTTAATTGAAGGTCTCTCCGAGAACAGACGGCCGATTTTGCACACGCGCGCTTCTTCTCTATCACAATTGTAAAGATCGTGGAAGGGAACCGCTCCTCATACGCATCATCATCTCTACACGCACACTACTCGCACACGCACGCACATAGATCCACGTACCAGGTATCTATATTGCGACGAGATAGGCTTAAGTAATTCACGTCAAGCGGAATCAGCACAATTTGAAACGCAGTAAACATCGGGAATATACGAGTATACAGACAAACGCGGGTCTCTCGCGATCGTCGAACACCTCCCGACGATTCTGCAATTCGCCCACCTTTCGCCCTTTTGATTTTCTCTTTGGTTTTCCTCCCTAACAATTAATTACACGTCTGTCTGTACGCACGATTCGTCACTTAGAGGCCCTGCACTATCGAGCGATGCACACCCAGATATAACAACGCTGTACAAAACTAACGAACGCTATTTAAAATTACGCAAAACTAGATCACGCGAGTATCCGTGCGAAATAATATGCTCGGTGTAAAGCGCTAACGAAGCCGAGCGTACGGTTAAATTCTTGCGCGAGATCGTGTTTATTTGGCGTTGCGGCGATGGTAACTTCATAATTGTGCTTCGCTAGACTCTCTGCTATGCAATCATCCCGTTAGAACGATGGTTTTATATCCGAGTGTCCAATAAACTATATATATAAAAAAAATTAACATTCACATTTCCATATACGGTCGCCTGATGTGTGTCGCGTTTCCGGTTTTCTCCTTTTTGACGGATTTGACGCAAAACAGTGCCGATTAAGTCTAATCGAAAGACAATAAATTTAACAACGATTCACACGATTTATATACTCATGTATACTCGGAGGTAAATTCGGGGCGCGGGGCGTTATTACGTAATCCTAGAACGAAGCGATTCGCGATATCTATATCTTACGCAAGAATTTTCACAATGTGTAAAGCCGTTTAACGGTAACGACAAACAACGTAACATATATCTTACATTTCGCTATATATATATAAAGTCAACGATAAAGTTAGCGATGGTACGTGGAAGTGTGAAGCGGTTGAATTGAGCGAGATACTGACAGAAAAAAAAACCGATGGCACGCGATTTTTATAGTTAACAACAATCATTATATTTTTTTACGTATCATCATTTCTTTCAGCATCTCCCTCGAATTCAGCCGAACACGTTTCTATATTTTCGATTATTACGGACGGCTATTTCCTTTGTTTCTCTCACTCCGTTCCTCCTCTGTTTTTTTCCCCTCCTTGTCCTTCCGTCTGTTGTCAGAGGAAATTTGCTCGTAGAATATATTAAGAAAGTCAATTATCGCAAGGTACATTCATGTGCTTAAGCTATGTTGAGTAATACATAGACACAAAAATAGTCAGATCTTTTTCAACTACAATAAATCTAGTTCTAATTGTAGATCGGACACGCAAAATTATGCAAGCGCCGAAAAGAGATTAATTTCTGAAGAATTGAAGAAAAAAAACTGCACATAATTGAGAAGCTATTAATCAAATAGCTTATAAGAGTAATTATAAAATTGTCATAATTATATAAAAATAAAGGCAGAAGTAATTTTGGGTGCCATGACACAATAAATATAATAAAATACACCCACGATTTTTGTAAAATAAAAGCTCTCTTTGCAAAGAATATGAAATGGATAAAGTTGTAATAAGGGAGGAAAAATTAGCATTTGCATCGCGTTTTGCATTTCCGGTTTACAAATGTTCGACGATATCGTGTATGCGTGTGCGTGTGTATACGTATGGCAACATAATAATTTAATTTCCTTCGTATCAAGTAACAAATATAGAGAACAGGTAAAATAAATGCCACGGAGAGGCGTTTGTTCATTATTTTTTTTTGGTCACAGGCAAGGTCGCAATCCGCGCATCTCGAAACCTTCGAACGCCGTTTGCCAGTCACTATAACAACTTGTGCGTTGTTACAAAGTACACGGCATCAACGACGACAAGAGTGATCGCTCGACGTTTACCAAAGCGAAGCTGATGCTGATTATTAACGCTGATTATTTACAGGATTCTCTCTCGAAACGTTTCTTTTTCTCTTTATATTGATTTTATCCGACACCGTGCATCACACACAGGCATAAGACGATATATAGAGTTCCATATTGCACGCGCTCTTCTTATTTTTCAGACCCAGAATAAAATCCAAGATTCATTCGGGTTCAGCGACATCAATCCCTACTTCATTTTCTCGTATCTTGACTAACATCAAGATCGTTGAACTGAAATCAAACTTAGGGATTTTAATGTAGGTCTGAAGAAACAAAAAGGACATCATTCTACAATGCAATTGTAACATATATACATATACATTTATATATGTATATATATATGCATACATATATACATATACATGTATCTCCTTATATCTTAGAAAGGTACTATCGTCGGTAGTCACGAGATCCTATTCACTTGAAGCGCTGGAAACATAAATGGACCAAGTTTCACGACGCCAATTTCGAATTTTAAGTCATTGTGTTATAAAAGAAACGCGCGCGACTAATGTGAAGTAACACAAGTGATCACAGAAAATATACATGGCCTATCTTATAGTTATGAAAAGTATAGAGTCCGCGAGGTGTCTCGCCGGATATCTTGGACTTGAACCTCTTCGAAACTGGACCCGGTCCACTCGTATCTTCGGCGCTCCACCTAATCTCTATATTGCAACAATGTTAATTTCTTTCTCGTTTAGCATTTTTCTTGCATTTACGATTTATATCATTCTTTTGTTAATACGCTATTTGGATATACGTACAACAATATTACATTTACATATATATATATTTATATATTTATATATACACATATATATATGTATATCATACAATCATACATTTATATATACATACAACAATATTACATCAACTGACATTAAAATCAAATCCATTGCATTGCAATGGCATCAAATCTACGCATTGCACCTGCCCTCAACCTTTCGTTCGGGCTATACGTGACGTTTTGTCACTACAAACGTAATATACAAGTTCTGTGTCACTTTGGTTCTAAATAGAATACGACGCAGGTGCCCGGTAGACGATGCAGGAAAATAGCGGACAACCCGCGTTAACAGCAGGTCATTTTCTTTGTGCATTAAACGAGTGACTAGTCATTACAAAAATCTCACGGCGAATACTCGCAGATCGGGGAATCGAGTTGTGGAGCACTATCGTCGAGATAATCCTGTCGGTGTCCTAAATCCAGATAGCTTCCCGACGACGATAGTTCTCCCTCGCAAGTACAAATTGCGTTAATTGTAATTAAAAAAAAAGAAACTACAAAAAAAATTAAGCATCACCTAGACGATAAATTTCGTCTTAATGTAAAAATCTTAACGACGAATTTGACGTTTAATCAACGGTTGCAACGACGTTCAGCACGGGTGTAACGCAACCATCAATTGAACGAAGCAACCGGCACTATACAAAAGGAGTACAAATCGGTAAGTAATCTGACCTATCATAACAGGAAAGTTATAAATATGGAATTGGAGGGACGTCGCTTTAACCGTACAAGTAACGTTTCGATAAAAATCTCTGAATAATAAAAACTCACGCGACTTTGGAAATACTTTCTAAACTAAAAACACTCCCGTATTTATCTTACACTCGCGAGAAAATTAATGGAAGAGTGCGTATGCCGTCGCGAGCGATTTAACTTAACAGAAGGAAGCAGGCAAATAAACTAACGCACCCGTTCTCGCGGTCCTCGATGACCGTCGAAGACGAGAAGTTAGAATACCACCTCACTTGGCTTTCAGAATCACCGCGTCGCTCGAACGGACAACAATTCGGTTATCGGGTGTTCTCGAGAGAGAGCTTATCACAAGGTGTACTGAGATCCGAAAGGAATTTTGACGTTACGTCGGAGTCGATTTTGTCGAATCGATGTGCTAAGGACGGCAATTGTTGTGTTCTTTCGTAGATCCGTTCGGCGATCGTCGAGGTAACGCGACACGAGCGTATGACCGCGATAATAAATATGTATATACACGCACCGGCATAAATGCCGTCCCTATCCGTGTGAGGCGCACGCACACAAAAAGCGAACGATCAATCCGAAAATCGCACCGCGATCGTCCGATGATCGGATTAGTCACCCGCTTGTTTGTCTGTGTGTGTGTGTGTGTGTATGTGCGTCTTACACAAATAGGGACGGCATTTGTCGATGCGTGTACATATACATATATGCATATATATACATATGTATATATCGTCACGAGAAACGAGAGGACTGATACGCCGAAATAGACATCCGATAACACTCGATATAAATCTAACAGGAGAAGTCGCGCCGTACGACCCTCTTCACTGTTTTTCTTTTTTTGCCGTTTTAATGCACGTACATTGTAATCCTAGACATAACAATATAAGTATACGATATAGCTGTAATTTTCTTTCGAAATAACGCACGAGACCGTCTTTAATGCTTTGTTATTTTGTTTTTCTTCTTCTTAAAGCGTAGGCCGAACTAACCCGTTTCTCTCGCTCTCTTCTCTCTAAGACTTTGACTCGATCACCGTAACACGAATCCTCAGGGACCGTTCCGTAAATCTCCGTTCTGACTAGATTCATGGTAAATACACGTATGCCGACGAAGCTTCATAGACGCGCCGGGAGAATGCGAGTTCGGTAATCACGTTTGACTGGTGTTACGAATATGAGGGAGACTCGAACGAACGTTGTCCGTCATTTGCGCTTTCGTCAGGTACTTTTACAAACGAGAGAACCCTCCATCGCGTATCGACGGGCCGGGATAGAATTCGCGCGTGTGTGTCGCTGAAGCTCCGTAGGCTCGGTGAAAAAATATGAGCATAGTAATCATGTTTGATGACACCGAGAATACGAAGAGACGCGAGCTAACGGTCGTCTTGCGCCTTCATCAGGTACTTTTTACATCGAGATAGATTTTCCTATCGCGTCGACGGGCCGAAGAAGGATGCGCGTACGTCGACGAAACGTTAATAAATAGTTGTTTCTTTTTCCCCCTTTGTTTTGCGAATATAGACCCGAAAATTATGTTCGACGATGCCAAGAATACGAAAAGATGCGAGCTATCGATCGTCTTGTGTCTTCGTCAGGTACTTTTACATCGAGATAGGTTCTCTATCGCGTCGACGGGCCGAAGACGATAGACGAGTCACAGGGGACGAGAAAAAACGCCGATAAATATAAGGAGACGTGCAATTAGCGGCCGTAATCGGATTACGACCGGTCGGTGACGGGGATACCGTGGCGCGAATCAATATACACGATTTGTAGGAGACGCCACGGTGTTGGTATAGCGGGAGGTATACACATGGAAGTACACAGGAGAAGAAAGGTATCGACACAGTCTCCACATTGGGAAAGTTAATAACCCCTAGCGCGCTTGGAACGTTACAATTTGCTGGTCAACGCGCGATCGCTCTAGCTACGACAGCGAGACGCACGGTCAACGAATGTGTCTCGGGCTCCCTTCCCTCACATCGCCCTCGTAACTTCGAAGTGGCGCAAAGAATTCCCATTCTCGTACGAGCTCGAAAGGTCGGTATCGTGAGGATCCGGGTGTCCGGGAAACAAAGGTAAGTGCTCCTTACAGTCCTGCTTGCGCTCTTATTTTGCAGGCCTAAGATCTGCGAAGGACATAAAAATGCACGTTTATACAATGGCGATATCATGACGTAGAGTCGCACACCTGTCGTCGCCGACGACGACGAGACGCTCGCTGCGTCGTTCTCGGGTGAGACGCGCCGAGAAGCGCCCGATACTAACGCATGCTCTCAATATTGCTATCGACTTTGCTCTCGTTTCGTAACTACTACAATTAAGTACTAAACAATTTTTTTTTCAACACTCATTACGTTTTCTCTATCAATCTATTGTCTACGACACTGAAGTTTGGATATATTATGTCCCTCGCGTCTCTTTATTCACCTGCTCCAGCCCAAACGTCTCTAAGTAGGTGTCTTTAAACAGATTCAAGGTCTACGACCTCACGGTACGTCGTTTTGAAACAAGTTGCTGCAATGCGTTTCAGCAATTTGGTTCAAAACGGAAGCACCGGCAAATCCTAGACGAGGTCCTAGATCGAGTAAAAGCAGCAAGTTCATCCAAGATGAATCGAAATCGCTTAGACGCACTTGCCCAATCTCGCGAGCAAGATTGTATACGTACGGTAGTAGCCGTGAGAGTTACAAATGCAAATTATTTATAATACGTCCGCTGCGAGTCTTCCTATTTTTAATTAAATTAATTTAAAATTATGATCATCCTTCTCGTTCGTTCCACGCCTTGTTGAAATAAATTACACACAAATTATACGTACGTGCTATTGACTATGGAAACGCGTGATAGGTAATCATTTGAAAAATTATTAAAAGGATATGCACGTGCTGTCTTATCACGATGAATCTAATCGGAATCTACGTTCTTCTCTGCGCCGATTCGTTAAATTTCGTGCAGTTTTCTCTCATGAGCGGCAGGTGGCAGAGTTGAATATTGCGATATATTTACTCTTCTCTCTCATCGATATATCGTATTTCATCACACGCAGTTTATCTTACGATTCTCTTCGTTTCTATTTCTATGTTTCGGTCCATCTCTATTTCATTTTGGTCGGGCTTCGTAGCGGTAATATTGCTGATACCTAGCCCCCTTGACACGTTCCTTCATTTTTAATATTCTCGTCTATAATATCCAATTATACGTATCTAGTTGGTATTATTATTATCATTATTACGGTTACTATTATAATTATATGGATACATAGACAGACATGATATAGATTATATTTTCACATATTTTGATTGGAAACAGGCATATCATGGCTTGATTGCACTCATCCTACGTTTTTTCTTTGTAAATAATTGATTCAATCACTTATTACATTTTTTTTGTTTAGGCTTCATAGCAGCAGTATTGTTGGCTGCCCCCGCTTTATACATGTGTGCTCATCTCTCATTTATATATTATCATCTATCATATATAATATCCAATTTTATATAATGCAGTTTTACTATTATTAGTATTAATATTTTATAAATATATAGACAGACACGATAAAGATTTATATATCTTCGTATATAACTTTGATTGGAAACAAGCGTATTGGTTTTCATCACATACAGCTCGTCCTATGATTTTCACAGATCATTGTTTCAATCCTTTTATTATGATTAGGCTTCGCAGCAGCGGTATTGCTCACGCCTTGCTTTTTACGCGTACTCACTGTTCATTTATATATTATTCGTCTATTATATATAATATTCAATTGCAAATATGCAATGTAACTATTATATGGATATATAGACATGATAAAAATTATATATCTATATACACTGGTCCAAAATATTAACGCAACAAGAAATTTACATCAAAATTTCGCGAATTTCAAATAAGCATAACTTCGCGACAACTGGTCGAATTAAAAAGTTTTTTTTCTCATTTTATAGGGCAAAGCCTCTGCTTTAAGAAGCTTTTATTGGAATTTGCATTCACTCTTCCCAGTGGCGATCGTGGCGCAGAGGATTGTGCGCTGGTCTGGTAATCCGAAGACCTGGGTTCAAAACCAAACAAAACATTCTTGGTTTTTCGATCGCCACATAGAGAAGTGGATATAGAGAGAGAAGTGTTATAACAGGTTTGGGCACGTTCCTTCAAAAACGCCTTGTAACCCTAAGGGGAATCAATAAAATGTATCTACATTCACTCTTCCCATTTCCCGGAACTTTCTCAAAATCAAGATGTTTTTTCTTTAAAAAATTGCACACTTTGGCGCACTGTACGGAGTGTAATAATTTTTCTTCGCCAGTTCTGCTTACGGTATCAAAAAGTGTATACTTTTCTCTTCAATTTAAAAAAAAGAAGTTCCTACGATTTTTTTTCGCCAAGTTACAGCTTTTTGAAGTAACCCTTGCATTTTCGTCCATTACCGTCGACATCAGCGTAACCCAAGGTGCACGTGGAGGTTGCCGATCGCATTTTGCACATCGTGTAGCCCTACAAGTCACGCAGCCTTCTTCCCATCATATCCCAGATATGTTCGATATGAATACACCTCCGGCCCTCTTCAGGGTCACACGATGTGCAAAATCCGTGCAAGCTCCGCGTGCACATTGGGTTACGCTGATGTCGAC